GTGAATTTTTTATGCCATAGAAGATAAGGCCCGTGGGGCTTGGAAAAATCCACTTTCTTATTGCATTCTCAGAAAGGTCCTTATTATAAGAACAAGATTATGCTTAAAAAATCTCTTCAGAGGAAGGAGAAGGACTAACAACCTGAATTAGGACTTGAGTGTATGATTTGTGTTTGCACACTGGGTTTACAGATGCTAGAGATGGCAAATTTTACTATTTACTGTTCAGATGCCTGATAATCCTCTAGCCAAACACATTGCCCCCTCCTCCATGTAATAGTCTTTCCTATTCTTTCCATTAATATTTGTACATCTGTCACACACATCATCTTTCTCCATGTGCAGTTTTGCCCAGTTTTTCAGTTTAAATATCTGTACTGAACTGTGTAGAGTTGTACTGCAACTCCAAGCTCATCTTCCAAAGGAAGGACTGGCTCAGTAATGGATGACTATTTCTCCTAGCATTGGTACTGAGCAATGAGCATCACATGTTGGTAAAATGTCCCCTTCTTTTTTTCATCTTCCACAGATATAGTGCTCGCTAAGTAAATGTGTGTTGAATGCATTACAAATTGCCTCTATGTCTCATTGGAAAACAGTCTTTTATTTCATTATTTGTTTTATTCAATTACTTTATATCTTTAATTGTTTTATTGTGCCTAACCCTATTTTGACCACTGATTCAGTTTTATTTTAATTTGTCTCTGTCACACATATATAATATATATAAATATATATATATATGTATAAGCAAAGACACTAGATGGTATCCACAGCTGTGTCACACCAAGTATAATTATTTCTTCCATCAATATTTTATTTTCCCAAATAAATTACTTTGCAGCTGCGATTTAGGTGAGATGTAGTTTCAAGGAAGCAATAGAATGTGAAATGTGCTTGCTTATTTTCATTTGTTTGCTTTGATTGTTCCTAGGTTTTAATCCTCTCCATTTCGTTACTGTCCATTGAGCTACTAAATGTTCATTGATCATTCTGAAGAAACAAATTACCTTTTTTAGGTTATGTTTTTTGTTATGAAAGAACCTAGCCACCTTGTATGGAAATGAGTGAGGATAACAATTTGGGGGTTAATAATATGCAATTTAAAGCTTCATTTTTATTTCATGAAAATAACTTTCTCTTTGTATCCAGTCTCTAGGAATCATTTTTCAACCATTAATAATTCATGCGCAAAACCTGCATTCTTCCTTTCCTGGTAGGCAGAGACAGATTTGAGTATTGAAAAACCTACAGTAGAATTATAAAATTATCAAATGTCTCCCAATTTTAAAAGTAATATATCTTAGTGCTAGAAAAGAATCTACGAACTAGGAAAAACCATTTATTTCACTTATTATTATTATTATCATCATCATCATCATCATTATTGCTGTTGTTATTATTATTATTTGATCAACTGTGAGGCTTGAATTCAGGGCCTGGGCTCTGTCCCTGAGCTCTTTTACTCAAGGCTAACACTCTAACACTTTCAGCCATAGTGCCACTTTTGGTGGCATTTCAGGATTTTAATTATAGCTTTCTTCAAAAGTAAGCTAAAATATGAATTTTTAAAACCCACTCTTCACCTTGTTGAAGAAATTATGTAAAATAGATATGAGTTGAATAAGATTCTTTAATACTTGTTAAAGATGGCATTAAAAAGGGTTTTTTTTCTAAATCAGATATTAAGAACAAAAGGATTTTTTAACCTCAAACTCTCATATTGCTTTCTAGCTTCATTTTCATTATAAGTAAAAAATAAAAAGCTTGCATCAAACAGGTGACTAGGTCTAGTTTCCACAAGTGTAAGTTTCTAGAATATAATGGAAGGGATAAAATTAAAAGATAAATGTTCTGCCAACACACATATATATATGTGTGTGTGTATATATATACACACATGTATATGTATGCATAAATGTAGAACCACATATATGTAGTTGTATGTTATATACATGTAACTGTATGTATAGTTTTACACATGTGCATAAGTTGATAGAAAAATTTAAGCACATATATTCCATATGTATTTTACACCTTGATCATCTGTTGAATCCAAGGCCATCTTCAAATCTTCATATCAATTTCTTTATTATGCAATTCTCAGATTTAGTATTTTTCAGTAAGTCTTACCTAAGCATCCATTCTAAATTAATGAGCACCCCTTCCCTGTCTTTGTCCAATCATCCTTGTAATTTTCAGTATGACATTTCTATCTCAAACTTTCTTAGTTCTGTCTTGTTTATAGCTTTACCATGCATCAACTTCTTTGAGAATATGGATTCCCTGAAAGCAGTGAATTCATCCACTTGTTTGACAGAATGTTGGGCTAATGCTTAATTTATAGTAGGTTCTCAATAAAAGTTTATTTGGATACTCAGTTTAGTTGAGGGGAAACTTGTTAGAATGTATCTAGAAATAAAAGGCACATTGTCATAAATTTTAATCATGCTCAGTACAAATTTAAAGGCAATAGATTAGTAGACTGAGTTTAAACAATAGTTTGAAAGTATTCTAGAGGAGTGGTCATGATTTTATATCTTTTATAATATGAAATTAATTATGACTATCAACAGTGTTAAAACACTAATAATATATACTATATGAAATATTGTCATAATGTTGTTATGGAATATGGATTCAGGAAGGTGCTACTTGGTAGCAAGAGAAGGTGGTTATACTCAAAGTTGCCAGTCTAAAATGAAAATTGTACTTATGGGTTCCATTTGTAGATAAGAATCCTTAGGGGGCTGGGAAGGTGGCTCAGTGGTAGAATGCTTGCCTCATATGCACGAGGCCCTGGGTTTGATTCCTCAGCACCACATAAGCAGAACAAAGCCAGAACTGGCACTGTGGCTTAAGGGCACTAGCCTTGAGCTGAAGAGCTATGGGACAGCGCCCAGGCCCAGAGTTCAGCCCCTGGGGACAGACACCCCCCCCAGTAAAAAGAATCTTATGTATAAAATCAAGATTTCATTTCCATTCAAAAAAACATTTATTAAGCCATGCACTAGACTAAGCATAGGAAATTAATTCTTAATTAACTTCAGAAGACGTGTCAAAAATCCCCAAGATGAATTAGTGAATAAAGATACAAAAATTAACCAAAAAGAGCCTTTAAAAGGGTATCATAGTATATGAAGGAATTAACAAGAGACTATTTTTATTCAAACTTCTGTACCATGAGACCCCACACATCTAAATGTAGAAACCTTCCAGTATGAAAGAAAATAACACAAAAAATAGTCAACAATAGAAATTGTTTTAAACTAAGGGGAAAAAGATACAGGATATTTTTGCATACCTTGGCATTTGTGACATCATAGTCACAACCTTGGTTTGAAAGATTGTTAGTAAAACATTTTTCCATTTATGTATAGCTTGTTCTGATAAAATGTTAGTTACATTACTTACTGAGAGCTATTATGCAGAACCTGAATACCAACTTTATATTGACTATTCATTCTTAAAGCCCCCAAACAAAAATCTCATTCTAAAGATTACAAATATTTGGACTGGGGAGATGGCTCAGTGGTAGAATGCTTGCCTTGCATGCATGAGGTCCTTGGTTCGTTTCCTTAGCACCATATAAGCAGAAAAAGAGATGTGGCTCAAAGTGGTAGAGTGCTAACCGTGAGCTGAAGAGCTGAGGGACAGCACCCAGGCCCAGAATTCAGGCCCCATGACTAACCAAAAGTAAAAAATACAAATGTTTGCCTGTCAGACTGCCTCTACCTCCAAATATTTCCTTGGGTTCACAGTTGCTCTCAAAGACAGTGTCATTATAAGTATGTCTCAGTCAAATATTAATTGAATTAATTGAGGAATTGAGGAATTGAATCATTCACTTGTATATATACTGATACAGATATATGTACATACACATCCCCCACACATACATGTGTATATGTTTGTATATGTAATATTTAGATTTAGAATATTTTCAATATAATACTTTATATGATAAATTTAATACTTTCTGGTAAGATAATGTAAATGTATTAACTATATATAAAGTTATATATGTCAATATATTATATTCATTTAGTCATATATATGAATAAAATGATAAAAGTAGTAAAATACAAATTCATCAACATTCAAATAATGGGAAATATTTTGTACCCTGTTCAAATAAGTCATAAATGTCATTAATCAGTTGTTTTTTTTTTTTTGTTGTTGGTCATGGGTCTTGAGTTCTGGGCCTGGACACTGTCTCTGAGCTCTTCAGCTCAAGGCAAGTGCTCTACCCTTGAGCCACAGTGCCAATTCCGGTTTTCTGGTGGTTAATTGGAGTCTCATGGACATTCCTTCCCAGGCTGGCTTTGAACTTCAATCCTCACATCTCAGTCTCCTGAAGATGTGAACCACCAGCGCCCAGCTTCAATTTTTTAATTCACAGTTTTCACAGAAAACAAATAAGGCTGCTAGAGTAAAGACTAGTGTGTTGTGCTGTGGCTGTATTTTGTTTCACTCTGTATATCTTTGCAAAATGAAAATTCTATTACTTGAATATACCTGATACCTGAAATCACAGATTTCCAAAAGAAAAATGGAAAGAAATCAAAGTATATGTTTTCTGATACCTGCAGGTGGATGTGTTCTTTGCATCCTGTCAGTTTTGTTCCAACACCTGTAAATAGCAACTTTTCTCCTGACCTTCTGTCTGTGTTATACTGCAGACTTGTTCCTTTGACATATAGCAGGAGCCAGTCCATTAGATGGCTCTGTTCACTTCCTTTTGCTGCATTTTGAAGTTTAAAACAAGTGGTAAAATCTACACCAATTTAGCATGATTAACTAGTTATAACCTATTTTATGATTCTGAATCCCTCACATGTAATGTGCTTTCAAGTGATTCCTTAAAGTTATTGCTTAAACAGCGTTTCAGATTTTAAGTTTCCCTTATTTTTATCCTTATATTTACAATTTCAACATATTTAATTTTTAATCTTTTATGGAGAATAATCTATCTTGATCTTGATTGGTGTTTGTGCTAGACTGTAAGATCAGACAGTGACCCAGAAGGATCAACAGGGACCTTAAGGCGACTACAGAAACTGATGTGGACCAAGAAGGCTAGGATGCAGAGTCTGGAGGAGACCAAACCAACTTTAATAAATCACAGTGAGTAAGAGATCTGTAAACGACTAAAGCTATGTAAGGGAGAACTGGTAAAATCTGTGTTAACCAAGACCATCCTGATAAGGACTTAAGGGAATTATTAAACCTTAAGCATTGCTGATTACTGTTATTTGAAAACACATCCCCCATCCCTATTAAGGAGGGAACCCTACATCTGTCTTCCATCTTATTTCTTCTTCTCTTTAGGACCAGTTTCCCAGACAGAGTGAGAGAAGTGTTAGTGAGGTTCAGAGAGAAAATGTACACTGTCTTCTAAAACATGAGTACTATGGCCATAAAAACAGTATTTTTTAAAAATTCTATGTCAATGTAGAAAATTGGCGTGGCAACTTTTATTTGAATTTACTTATTTACAAAGAAAGGCTTGTAAACTATAGTCTTTTTTGCATCAGTTAAATATTTGAAACAAAAGAGATTCAATGATACATGATTGATTTACTTTAGGTGGATTATATATATATTTTTTTGGGGGGGTCCGGTATACTGTTGAAATCTGATATCATCTTGCTTTTTCTAGCTAGGAACACAATCAACCATATCAATCAATCATATTGATCTATGAGGAGAGAGAGAATGAGAGGGAAGAAAGAAGGAGAAAGAAGAGAGAAAGAGAACAGCACAGGAAGAGCACAATCATATAATATTTACAATAAAATTATTAGAATTGCTCTATTTTATTATTGTTAATAGCATCTTAATTTATTATTCAACTTCATTTTAGATAAATTTTCATAGGAAAAAACAATATATATAATTTTGGTATGATCAATAGTTTTAGACACCTATGATGGTCTTGGCTTGATTTAATGGATAAGAGAAGACCATTGTACTAGGAATTTCATCAGATCCATAGCCACATTGTATAAACAAATTACTGACTTTATAATATACTCTTTTAGTTTCTAAGTCTCTTTCTAGATTTTTCAAAATATTTCACCATAAAATACACTGCATGTGCAAATGTATTTGCAAATTGATATTAAATAGCTATTTCTGAATGTCAGTAGGATTTCATCCCCTATCCACTGAGATTTCACTCCTTAAAGTTCCTGTAAATAAAGCAAAGAACGGGATTTGCTTCTTATGATGTTCTCTTTTACATATGGCCTTGGAATTTAAGAAAATATTTTGAAATAGAAGCGTATCATGGTATGCATGTAAATTGTGGGGAATTTAAAATATATGTGTTTTTAATTAATGTCTTGAGTATGGTGTCTGCATAGAGCTGTTATTCATTCTAGTTCAGTTGATGTTATTCAAATATAATGTTTCAAAAATTCATGTAAATCTTACTTTCCTAAAAACATTCATGTAACAAATGAATTTACTTTAAATATGTATTTTAAATGATTTAGTGAAATTGAAAGACTGCCAGGTTTACCTTGTGGTATTCATTTGCAGTGTACAACTGGAATTTAATTAATGTCTCCATATGCAGAATTATACAGGCTTAATTTTTAAAGTCTTAAAGTTTAACTTATGCTTCTTTCTAATTCCAAAGGTGACAATGACACATCAATTCCCTGTATGAAATTTACCAAATTCCAAGAAAGGAAAGCTAATCATGTGAGCACTAGGAAGAAGGAAGAAATGGATATTAGATTAGAATTACCTTCCACGTCCTTGCGAAGATCCAGAACTTTGAGTGAATGCCACTTGGAAGATGGAGTACCTCCATATGAAGGTGAAAGTCTGCTGTGGAACAGCTGGAAGCCTTGTCCAGAAAACCCACCCTGTACATTTGTTGATTTCCAAACCAGCAGAGTTGGACCCTGGGATGAGTGCTTCTCTTGTATCCACCACCCCCATCTCAAGTCTTCTCATACAGATATGGATCTCTTACATTCATGGGTAAGTTTTTAAGCTACATAATGTATTATCTTAGCTTGTGTGGTTATACCAGCAGGAAAAGAAGCAGATAACCAATGTGCTAATCACTCACATTTATCAGATTCAGGAAAATTACTAGGGCTAGATTTGTGTTTCCAAAACTCAGGATAGCTCTTATGGATTTTGTCCATGTTAATATTACATTTGTTCCTTCATATACAGCTAGACTACAGAACAATATTTTCCCCTAGAGATTTCTATTTAGTCAATTGAAGAAAAATGTTGGACATTGTTTCAGATCAAGAAAATGTGTACTGGAGAGTGTGAATGTTGCTAACATGAAAATGAAAATACATGAACAAATATTAGGTAACTTTAGTAAGTACTTTTTTTCTGGGTATGCCATTCTCTGAAGCACTTTACACTCATCACTCAACTAAATCTCACAAAAACCTTTAAGTTAAAGATCTTACTTACCTCTCTGTTTCACAATTACGAAAGCCACAAATATATTAATAAACAGTTGCAATGTCAGATAAAGAGAGGTGGAGCCAAATTCTGGAACTCGCATAATCTTAGGTTATCGATCGAGCTTTTAGCTAATGTATTAGAGTGTTTTTCCACCTGCTTAAACTATCTGTCATAATGGGTAAGAGTATAGACTCTGAAGCTAGACAAATTAGGTTTGTATTCTGTCTTTGGTACTTATTTTAGATTAGGAAAAGTAGTCAAACAACTTAATCTTAATTTTCATTTTTCCCATTTTAATAGTTATTATCTTTAAGTAGCTGTGGAAAGGAGTTTCCATTTAACAAAGAAGTATATGATTACAATATATCTTGAGCAATGTCAGCCTGTTCTTGATTTTGTTAAATGTAAAATAAAAGTAATAATATTAAACTCATGAAGTGTCTGAGAAGACAAAAATCGAATACCATTAAATCCTCTGGGTCTTAAGAGTGCTGAAGTCTTTCCAATTTGATTCTAAGTTCCTTAGGGCATGTGTTGTGCCCAATTTCCTCAAGATAATGTCTGTTCCTATTTGTGGTAAATGGAAGGAACAATTTTGTGTATCCAGGACATCTACTCGGTGCCATTTTCCTCTAAGGATCAGTCACTTCTTAGATAGAGGCTAGATTTGTGGTAAGAAGAAAATCCTCTCATAGAGTTTACAAAGAGAATTTGCATTAAGGCACTGAAGATGACAGTAAAGTCATCTTTGATTACAGTATGTTAAATATTACATCTGTGTAGTAACAGCTGTGGTAACTAGTGATATTGCTAAACTTAATGATACTGGCCTGTACAAATCATGTGTGTGCTTCTCTATTCCTCTTCCTTAGTTCTCTTCAAGGCAGGTGAAATAGCAGGATTCTATTCAGTGGCTTCTTAAGGGTATCTGCTTATTTCTCAGGACGGTAGCTGGTCCAGAATGTTGAAGCTTTGGCAAAAGGAATGAAAACTTAAATAGAAATATTCAGAGAATCCTTCCAGAATAAAATCTGGACGTTTTACCATGACATTCCTAGATTTCTGTAGTCTAAATTCAATGTGAGTTTTCAGCATTATTGACTTCTTACTCATCCCCTACCGTTCTCGTGCGGGACTACCAAATAGAACGTTTTGATATTCCTAAAGCTGAACCTTTTCACCTCTGTATCTCTGTGTTTGTGCAACACTTCTTCCTGCCATGGTATTCTCTTCTTTGTTGCAAGCCATTCCTTCATTTCTGAGGTTCAGATCTAACGTTGTGTTCTCTAGCCTTCCTGATCTATGGCCTGAAAATTTCTAGATTGTTTTTTTGCATCATTCTTTCATTATATGTTTCTCACATAGTGGCATTTATTGTGTGTCCAGTCAGGATATTAACTATTGGGGATAGAAAGCTTAAAATATATATAGATATTGCTACTGTCTTCATGGAACTTAACATACTTTGGTATACTGGAGTTAGGCATTTATTCACTTCATTAAAGTCATTTTTGTTTGCAACTTCCATTGTTACTACATTGTAAGGTAATAAACATTTGAGTAGCATGCCTAAATGAGTGGAAATTTAGACAAGTTAATGGTGGAACATATGTGGGATCTCAGCTATGCAGGAAGCATTGTGTGAAGATTATGGTCTCAAGCCAACATGGAGAAAAGTGAGACTGTAAATGGAAAATAAACTAAAGCAAAATGAGCTGGAGGAATGGCTCAAGTGAGAGATCACCTGCCTAGTAAGGAAAGAGTCCTGAGTTCAAACCCAAGTATTGCCAAAATACATAATTAATATAATTAAGTAAAGGTGCATTTTAAGAAGCAATGACCTTTGTCTCCATAGAACTTGATATGGCATTTATCATTGCCTACCCTTATATTCAAAGCTTTAATCATGCCAATTAATCTAGCTTCATGTATAATCTTTTAACAGGTGTAAACATACTTGTGAATCTGTTCATATAGATTTATGCAATAGAGTATAAAATACCATTGTCTTTTGTATTGAGGTAGTCTTGCCTATTTTAGTACATTACTAAATGATTAAGCAAGTTTTATCTGAAAGAAGGTCAAACACATCTGCAGAATGCTCAGAATTTCAAATGGTTATGTTCAGCATTTGTGACAGAAAGGCCTCAATGGATTTGGAGAGAGAGTTCAAGAGCATGTTAGACTTAAATTGGTTTGGTAAACTTAATGAGACCACCTGCACCCGGGGATTTGAGACATTGAAGTGAAAGAAGTTAGATGACTGCAAATTATTATTTCTATATTCTATACCTCTATTCTATAATAATAGCACATGAAAACTATCCAGTTCCATTTGAGCATAGCTGGTATTTTTTTCTGTCATAATTGCTGGGTTATTATTTGGCTTATTTAACTTTCATTGTATTGAAAATACAGAAGGCAGATACCACGGAGGGAAAAAATGTGCTTCTGAAATGAATACTACTATTAATGACAGATAGAGGTGACATTTGAGTAATTTTAAAGTGTAAAAGTATGACAATTTTTTAGAAGAGTGTTTTATCATACTTAGACCTGGGCCTTAGCCCCATACATTATGGAGAAAGAATCTACTCTTCAAAGACAAAGGACATTTCTGGATACTTAAAAGTTTAGGAAGAGTAGATTTCAGTGATTCTACCACCAAAGAGTTTAGAGATTTCCTGAAACTTATTTGTCTTGCACTTGTAGAAAGTCTGACTCTACCAAGCTACCAGCAGGCTTGTACTCTGTAGTTTAGAGAAATAAATCTGGTCTGAAGTGGCCTGCACAATGCACCTAAGTGAACTAGTACTTACCTTCCTACTAGACTAGCTCCATTTATGTAGAATAGTTCAGGCCTTATGCACTCCTTTTTCTCTGAGTGACTGCAAACCTTTGGCAAAACACTATGTGAAAGGCAAGATTCTCAATATTTATTAGGGCAATTAAGAAGATTAAATAAAATATTTAAGATTAGTCAATAGTAGATGGCGTTAATGAGCAAAATAAAGAATCCAGAATCAAGTGGATTGGAAAGAAAATATCCTTTTTCTCAGTTGAGATAAAAGCTGTACAGACAGGAAAAAACATATTGTTTGTGAAGTGCTCTTCATAAAAGTCAACAGGAGAAGAGAAGCACACAGAAGTATTTGTAAGAACTTTCGGATCAGAGGAATAGTGATAAATGTGATTATGGATTTCATGTAAAAACATGTGACTCAGTATATACTTAGAGAGGTACATGATCTGACTTTTGAGAGTGTGTTCTAAATAAGAGAAAACTAGGGACACAGCTGTCATCCAATATCTGAGATGAGTGGTTCGAGAGGGGTTTCAGATGCATCTTGAGACAGGTAACAGTGGAGTAATCCAAAATAATACTTGAAGCTATGTATTTAGAATGGTTTACCGGAAGAGTGAAGGATACTTATATAGCTCTTCATGGTAAGAGTTTGAAATGGCTTAACAAAAGGAGGAAAGTGAGCTAAAGGTATGAAATAATAAGAAAAGTCTATTTTGCAAAGTAAACAAGATCTTCCTTTAATAGTCTGCAAGCATGGTTCTGAAAATCTGAAAGTTTTTACATTCATAGGAGTTGTAGAGAAATTATTTTTATATTATTAAGAAGTGGAAGGGCTGGGAAGGTGGCTCAGTGGTAGAGCACTTGCCTTGCATGCTCAAGGCCCTGGGTTTGATTCCTCAGCACCACATAAGCAAACAGAAAAAAGCCGGAAGTGGCGCTGTGGCTCAAGTAGTAGAGCGCTAGCCTTGAGCTGAAGAGCTGAGGGAGAGTGCCCAGGCCCAGAGTTCAGGCCCCACGACCGGACCCAAAAAAAAAAAAAAAGAAGTGGAATTGATCTAGATGTGAAAAGAGAGAGCATATATCCATTACTCCCCTTAAATGTCTAAAATATTTTAGAATCAGTTCTATTATACTACTGTGATGTGTTTAAAAGCTGATGATCACAAAAGCTTTCCTCTTTCAAGAAGAAGAAAAGTCAAATTCCTTATATTAAAAAATAGAGAAAACTCAAATAGGGCACAGGTAAAATATTACATAACAGAAATTAAAAGAAAATGAGCAAAGTTTAAATACTTCATTGCAAGGTGGGACAGTAAACAAGATTGTTCCTTAGGATATCTAAGACTAGGAAGAGTCTTGTAGGAATAGTGCCAAAAGAGAAAGTGAGGATAATGGAAAAATTGTGCAACTATTTCAATGGGAGAAACAGAATAAGTGCTAATGCAGCCAAGAAATGAAGGA